AGACGGAATCGGGTCAAATAAGGTCAAGTGCGTCTAATTGCAGACTCATTAAATGGTGAACAGAGAGAAGATATGAATGAATCAACTGCAAAGAAAAAAGAAATGGAAGCAGAGACAGTGTGTGTGTGTGTGTGTGTGTGTGTGTGTGTGTGTGTGTGTGTGTGTGTGTGAGGCGACAGCAGGGCAGCCTGCAGGAGAACAGAGTAAATGACAGGAAAGAAAAGAGAAAGAAATGGCTGACGACATGGTGGTTGATCTCCTGTGGGCGTTGTTTGATGAATTCCTATCAACTCAGGACTTGAATGAAAAGACAGAAGACAGCAGGACAAAAAGAAAATATGAGAGCTCGGAGCAGCAGCGTGGCCAAACTGGTTTGGAAAAAAAATGTAATCAACTTAAACATAAAAACACACAAACGGCACAATGTGCTACAAAGACAGGGGACAAACAATGGCGGTAATGTTTGTGTAGACAGCTACACTTCCTCATCATGATCACAAAGACCAAGCTATATTTGACATCCCCCATGGGAGGAGAGCGTGCCGCGTTGATTGCAGTGTGATGTTTCAGCGGACGGGGGCTGACTCATCTCAACTGGGCTGAAAATGCCACCGTTGTTAGCCCCCTGTTTGCTCCAGACTATTTAAGTCCTAATTTAGACGCCTTCGAAACGTGAGCATCAGCGAGATCCACGTCGCTTAAGTTCTCCGTTTGCACGCTCTCTGATAACCAGCTTCAAACACGAGACGAAATCAATTTAAAACCCCCAAAGTTTGAACGTGCCGGGCATCTGGTGGCTCAGTCTGCTATGTGCACAGAAAGATCCGCGTGGGCTCGAGGCCTCTTCTATGATATCACGTTACATCCTCACTAGTTTCTGTCCTGTCTCGATTTCACTATCAAAAAATAAACAGAGCACTACAGCAGGGCGGGGAGCGGCTGCTCTGCTTTTGAAAAACCAAACAATCAAAGCGTGTTTCAAAAAAGCCTCATAAGGACTCTTCGTCTCCGCAGCGAGTCTTATCTCTGTCCGTGCATCTGGTGCGAGTTGCACGGTGCACGTTGTTTCGGGGCGGGAGGAGAGCCCCCACATGGAGTCCTTGGAGCTCCATGACTCAGCCAGGACCCCTGCAGCCGGAGCATCTGGACGAGGCATTCAGCTCGGGTGATGTTTCATCTCAGTCTGGCTTAATAACGTTTGAGTCCCCGGTTGCCATCAAAGCTGCCTGTTCACTTCTTGTCTTTAATAACAGAGATGGGGGGGATACGGGACAGTTTGACAGAACTATGAACTGGAGTCAGTTTTATTGATATAGCACCGAATCATAACTGAAGCTTGTGATAATTAGGATAGTGGTTTTTACTCGGAGCTGATATGAAGGGCTGAGCTTTGTGTCTTCTCAAGCTGTGACGATGGAAAACAAAATCACAGAATCTTTAAAAGCTGCACCCGTGAAAATAAATGATGTGAAAATATCTTATTTTCTTTAATGACACAGTGCAGCTGCATCTAAATGATTAACAATGAGGTCATCACAGATTAGAAGAACGTGCACCTTCTCGAGGTCTGGTGATTTTAATCAATGCTTTTAAAACTGCTTCACCCGTCAAGAAGAAAACGAGTTTCACGAGAAATGACAAGTTTAGAATTAAAAACAAAGTTACACACGGAATAAAACATCTTATAAAAGTCACAAAGACAAGCGTGCAGACTCTCAGTGGTCACGGTATCTTCAGGAGATGCACTCGTGTAGTTCAGCAACTGGACTTGCTTGTGTTCCTTGAAGACGTTTCACATCTCATCACAAAACGTTTCTTCACTTCGTGTGATGAAAGTTCTTCATGCATCTGCTCAGTCTTTGTTTTCGAAGGCATCAGCTGTGAAGCAGTCCGTTCTGAGTCTTCTGCAGGATTCTTTCAGCTCGGCCGTCTTTCACATCTGAGTGCGGATGTGAGCTGGTGGGGGTTGTATTTTGTTGGGTTGTGATTCCTGTCGTCTGCTGGTTTCCTTCAAGACCCCTCGTACTCCTGGACCAGTCGGAGTACGTGTGAAGATTCTCGGTCTTCAGAAGTGAAGAAGCCTCTTGAATGAGATTAAACTTCTTCAGGAAACACAAGCCAAGTCCAGTTGCCCACATGTACAACTCCTAAAGTCACAAAGATATTACAGGAGAGAATATTATCGCCTACGATCGGATGATAGTGTCACGAACATTGATTTTGGACAGAAACCTGCAAAAAGAACCGACTGAAAATGTTCCTGTGCATCAAAAACCTAATCAGTTAAAAAAGGTAAGAGATGATCACGATGGTGAAATGTTGTAATATTAATTTTCACTAACTTTGTCTTAGAGATATTTTAGATATATGTCTCATATTAAACGTGACCAAGAGAACATTCTCTCTGAGCTTCTTTATGTCTTTTAATTACAATTTTTAAATTCCTGTCATAATTTTAATTAATTTATTTCACTGTATGTTTCACTATATGCTTGTGTGTAATTCCTGCTATATGAAGAACTTTGGCCATCATGTTTAAATCCCTTCTATCCGCCACTTAACAACAAATCTTTCCCAAAAGTCCGATTCTTGCCTGAGCTCCAGACAGAAAAGAGCTGGACTCACAATGTCCCGTCTTTTTTACCTCCTGTCCCTTCAGATATCTTCACGTCTCAGACACGCTGGGCCGGTGAACCCGAGCCTGCTGAGTGCCGTTTACTGACGTCTCGTCAACTGATTTAAGGATGTCAAAGTTTTTCAAAACAACGATTGTGATCCTCCCTCCCTGCGACTTTACCTCATGCAGCTTTAGCGTTTGCTCGGAGAGGCGGCCACATTGTTCAACACAGACACACACAGACACGAGGATGGAGTGCACACAGAGGAATGAAGCGGTGCGCTCGTATTGAAAACAGACAACAACGGCAGATGGGGAGGAGAGAGAGAGACACACAGACAGAGGGATCATCCTCTTTTCTTCCTCTACCGCATCCCTTTCTCTCCCCTCACCTTGTTGGGCTTGACAGCTCTCTGCAGGTTCTCGATCCATTTGTCTCTCTCTGCAGCTGAGCGACACGCAAAGCACTTGGTTCCCGATGCCGTAGTCACCTGAGGTTATAGCCAATAGCAAATTCAACAACCACAGCCATTAGTAACTATGGAGACTGCAACTGAGGCGCCAAAACAATGTCTTGCATTCACTCTCAACCTCTGTCATGTTTCACTAATGGACATGTGATTGAAAAGCTGACAGACTCCTGCAGCACATTATGAAGAGACAAGGGCTCATTCCCCAGTGTCCTTGTTTCTTCTATTTTTAAAATATAAAAAAAGACAATATTTCATTTCACATCACTGTCACTTGTCAGGATGGATCAACAGTTGTGTTGCTATTTGCTGCTGTGTACACTTCACTCTGAGCGCGAGCGTGGCGTTGTCGCTCCACACCGCAGCTCAGCTCTCACCTCAAAACAGTACTCTTGTCCCAGGATGCTGGAGTGGACAGGTTTGATGATGGCGTCCTCGTCCAGGGTGAGGTCCAGCGCCTCGGCGGCGCTGCTGGGAGACAGCAAGGACTCGTGGGAGTGGGACTCTTTGAAGCTCTGCATCAAACGGGTCCTGGGAGGAGACAGAGTCGTGGTTAGACGAGGGGAGGACAAAGACAGGAGCTGTTTACTGAAGATGACACAACGCTTTGGTTCGGTGGACGAGATTGTCCAAAGAAAAGGTTGTTGTCCAAATATGGGAATTATCACGTCACCAATAAAAGTCATAAATATCCAGTGTCGAGAAACAACACGATAGATTTTAGATTTCAATTTGCTCTGCTCAGATGTTGGCTTCACTGACCTCATAACATATCTGACTTTTCTAAATGTTAGCTGTTTCTTGCTATTGACGTCACTTAATTAATAATCAGTCACAGCCAAAAACCTCCACATCCCTTAAGAGGCAAAGAGAGAGAGAGAGGAAGAACCCTTCAGCCGCTGGGAGAAGAAAGAAAGTCCGAAATCCAAACTGTCAGTTTTGAATTATTTATACAAAACTGCTGAGAAGTGATCAGACCTCAGATCAAACCTCCGACGCCACAGTGTCCACGTCCAGTTGACTGAGTGGAAGGCAAAGATTCTCTGATTCTACGCTCTTATTCTGAAATGGCTCGTTATAACCTTGTTTGATACGCAGATGATTTGTGTCATGTCAGCAAATACACAACATTCAAATGATACATCATTTTTAAATTAGGACAACTGGAGACAAAATGCAGCACATAAAAACTGGATCCTTTTTTTATTTCTAGCTTGCACACAGCTGTCTTTACCAATAAAAGTCTGTTTCCCCCTCAGGGCAAAAATAATTTAAACTCCACAATCATCATTTAAAAAAAAGAAAAGAAAATAGAAACAGTGACATTAATCCTGGCACAGACTCACAGCACAGAAGTGAACAGGGCTTCCACTAAATCCATCCATCATGCTCATACTTACACTTGACTCCCACACACACACACACATGTGCATGCACCAAGTACGCACAATCACAGATGACACAGTCGGTCTAACCAGAGAGCGAGAGGGGACGGTCAGGTGAGACGAAGCCCCTCAGAGCAGGACAGAGGGATGGAGAGGACAAAAATATTTTTAAAGATACTGATTATCCTCCACGGCGACGTCCGACTCTCAGCTTCTCCTCTTGCACTCGCGCTGCTTTTGTCTACGTTCAGTCATGACGTTCATCAACAGAACACTGATTACATGTGGGGGACCAGGAGGGGGGAGAAACACAGAGAGGGAGAGAGAGAGAGAGAGAGAGAGAGAGAGATAAAAATAGACCCAAAAGAATGAGTCAGATTGAGGGGAATACAGAGGAGAGAGAGAGAGTGAGAATGTGGGGGAGGTCACGAGAGGATGGGAGAGAAGAAAAGACTGATGGGAGTATGAGGTGAGGTGAGGGGTGGGGGGGGGGGAGCCGGGGGAGAAGACCTCTCGGAGGAGATCACGTCGATTATGTAAACAGTGGATCCTTTGGAGAGGAAGAAAGTGAGAGCGTGGATTAGAGGAAGAAGAGCGGAAGGAAAGGAGGGGAGGGAGGGAGGGAGGGAGGGAGGGAGGGAGGATGTGAACAGGTCGGAGTGGATGAAAGGATGGAGGGGGGAGGGAGGGAGGTAAAAGAAAGTCACACACACAAACACACAAATTATATAAATGTGCCAGAACTGATGAAGTGAAAACAGCCTCAGCAGCAGCGACGACAGAAACCAGGATCGATGTGAAGCGTTCAAACTCATCTGGTGATTGTGAGACGCCGAGAACGGGTTCTGTGTTTTTTTCTGCCGTGAAGAGAAATGAAACTGAATTAACCAGCTGTGTGAGTCGAAATGATCCGTCACACAATCGATTAGTCAATCAACAGAAAATTCACTTGGAGGCGAATTTGAAGACAGTTAATTGAGTAGAACTGTCGAGAGCATCGTCGATGTCTCTCAGTTTTAAATGAATGAATATCTGGGATTTGGGGACTTTTGCTTGGACAAGATCACACAAGATATTTTGGGCTTTCCAGAATAACACAAAAATAACAGATGACACTGATAACAAACGACCAATCGCTCACTTTGAAAATAACTGTGAAGAGAGATGTTGATGACAGAAGTGGTTTTTACTAATGTTACAGGAACAAGAGGACAAAACGAAGCTTCAGCAGATTCCAGCTTCTTGAACGTGAGGGTTTATTGACTTATTCTCTTTTTTTTTACATCTCAAGACACAAGAGGACGTCACATCAGGCTCTAAGAAACTGTGACTTCTGACTTCCTCTAGGCAATTCAAAACCTTTATTTCAATATTGAATTGTCAGATATATATTGGATTATATATATATACAAATAAAGCTGTAAATGATTCCTCATCATTATCAAACAGATATTTCATGTGAGGCTTAATAATGAACAGTTTAACCAATGCACATCTTTTCTGCATTGTTAATTCTGTAAAATAATAGTTTTGATATCAGCAAACATGCTGATGCTCTTATTGATCACCTGATCGTAGGTATGGATGCAAGTGATCCAACAATTTATAACTATTCGCTAAATCGATAAAAGTAATCAGCTGTTTGATTGATAATTCAAATAAAATGCTTTGTAGAACAAACAGCTGAAGATAACTGCACATTTCTATAAGAGTTATAGGAGCTGTATACGATAGAGTGGCCTGCAGTATTTAATGGGGAGGAACTCTAATGAGCAGGTATTGAAAAACTATGTGTAACCATAAATATCACTGCAGCTTTTAGAGCCTGTTTGGGAGCTTGAGGAACTGCTCTTTTATGGCTGCATGAATTTCAATCCACGCTGGAAAACAAAAAGTGTTCCTCCCTGGATGAATAAAAATAAAAACAGGGAATAATAGCGAACAAAGCCGCAGATGTTCACGGACATCGCTGACGGGAAACGTCCAGAAAGAAAAACCCCAGGAGTTGTGAAAATGCAGCGAGGGCCTTGGAAAACAACCTTGACTTCACAAGAAGACTTTTTTTGCCTTTTTTTTTCCGTCTCCTCATCTACAACCTTCCCAGATGAATAAATCATGTGGAAACGCACCTTGGCAGACGCCTGATTCTCCTGAGTGCACTCTCACCTGCGGTAATACCATCGACATGACCTTGTTCGCATCGGAGGTTTGAGTGGTCGGCTGAAGCTCTTCGGTCGGAGCTTTTAAATAAACTTAGAGCTCAAACTATGAGTCACTTAGTCAATGGGCAGAATATTGATCAGCAGATGCTTTTTTACATTTTATTGTTCGAGCAAAAATAATTCACTCTTTGGTTCCAGCTTCTTGTTTGCGGTGCTCGTTGGTTTCTGATCATCTTCACATAGAGTGAAGTGAATATCTTTGAGTTTGGGACAAATGAGGTCATTTGAAAATGTCACATTAGACTATTTCAGTATTTTACTTCATTTATAGGCAAAACAAATAATCAACTAGTCCATAAAAAAACAAGCAGATCAAATCTACTATCAACCTTCCTGTCTCATGAAACTGGAAACTGAAAACAAAGATTATATGGAACATTATTTTATTTCTTATCTGAGGGCCTGGCTGGTTATTTCCTATATTTACTT